TGGGTGACTTTGGTCCATGGTGGCAGCCCTCAAGTGCAGTGCAACTGCAGTGGAACGGACATAAAGGAAACTGTGCTGGGCCTCGGTGCCAAATATTTTGGGGAAGAACACAGCTTGGAGGGGTGCTGTGGGCAAGTTAAGTGCCTGGAAGTGTATCATCTACCATCTCTTTCCCTGCAGTGCCCCAGGACTTTGCTATTTAAATGCACTGTGCTGTTCCCTGGGTATGAATCTGTGGTGGTAGGTTGTTTTCCAAAGAGCCCTTGCTGATTTTCCATTTACTCCCCCATTGCAGTGATTACAGGGTTTTGTAGTTGAACAATGCTCAAGCGATGGAGCAATTAACTATTTATAGACTCATAGAATCATAGAATAGTTAGGGTTGGAAAGGACCTTAAGATCATCTAATTCCAACCCCCCTGACATGGGCAGGGACACCTCACACTAAACCATGTCACCCAAGGCTCTGTCCAACCTGGCGCTGAACACCACCAGGGATTGAGCATTCACAGCTTCCCTGGGCAACCCATTCCAGTGCCTCAGCACCCTCACAGTAAAGAACTTCTTCCTTATATCCAATCTAAACTTCCCCTGTCTAAGTTTTAACCCGTTACCCCTTGTCCTATCACTACAGTCCCTAATGAAGAGTCCCTCTCCAGCATCCTTGTAGGCCCCTTTCAGATACTGGAAGGCTGCTATGAGGTCTCCATGTAGCCTTCTCTTCTCCAGGCTGAACAGCCCCAACTTCCTCAGCCTGTCTTCATACGGGAGGTGCTCCAGTCCCCTGATCACCTTCATGGCCCTCCTATGGACTTGTTCCAACAGTTCCATGTCCTTTTTATGTTGAGGACACCAAAACTGCACACAATACTCCAGGTGAGGTCTCACAAGAGCAGAGTAGAGGGGCAGGATCACCTCCTTCGACCTGCTGGTCACACTCCTTTTGATGCAGCCCAGGATACGGTTGGCTTTCTGGGCTGTGAGCGCACACTGAAGCCGGCCCATGTTCATTTTCTCATCGACCAACACCCCCAAGTCCTTCTCCGCAGGGCTGCTCTGAATCTCTTCTCTGCCCAACCTGTAGCTGTGCCTGGGATTGCTCCGTCCCACGTGTAGGACCTTGCACTTGGCATGATTAAACCTCATGAGGTTGGCATCATCCCACCTCAGAAGCATGTCAAGGTCCCTCTGGGTGGCATTCCTTCTCTCCAGCATATCAACCAAACCACACAGCTTGGTGTCATTGGCAAACTTGCTGAGGGCGCACTCAATCCCACTGTCCATGTCGCCGACAAAGATGTTGATTTACAATGATTTACAGGTTTATTTTTTTATATATAGCTATAGGAAAAATCCTGGCAACTGGGTTCACACCTGTAGTCTTGCTCAGCTCCAAGGATGCAATGGAAAAACACTTCTTTCCTTGGAGAGGAAGCTGTATATGCAGAAGGCTGAGCAATCAGTAAGGGATAATGAATCAGTTAAAGTGCATTTGAGAAGATCAATAGATACAGGTTAGGACACATGTAGCCATTCATTTCCAAGTGTTTTTTAACAAAGCTGCATGTTGTCATGCTAGCCTGAACCCCAATTATTATGCATTTAACAAGAGTATTCATTTCTAGAGTCCTTTAAGTACTGCATTACATGGGCAAACCTGGGGTACAGAAAAATTATGCTGATGCCAGCCATGGGGTTGAATGATCACAGAATTACTGGGAAACAGTGAATCAAATGTACTGGTAAAATAAATCAAGAGTCCCAAAATCGGGCCCAAATGTGCTCTCTTGTTTGCTTCATTCCTTTTCTTGCTAATCTTCTGGAGAATGATCCAGAGCCTGAAGCACCTAGATAGGTACTTCCTGGCTAATCGGTGCACCTTGCTAATCGGACAAGGTCTTATGTGTCATTTAGATTTACTCATTCTACATATACTCCCTCATGATATAATTAACAGCGGTGGCACTGTTAGATAATTAAATTTAATTTTATTCAGAGGTCAAATTACCTGTATAGTTTATATGTGAACTGATGAGCTTCTAGGAATAAATCAAAAATACTGACCCCTACATTAGTCCCCCACTGCCAGCAGCAGAGCTTTGGCTCATTAAGGTGCTTGCTGCTCATTGGGGCTGATCAAGGCGGGGGACTGACACTCTGTGAGAAAAAACTGATTTTCACATTTCCCCACTTTCTGAATGGTGATGAAATGACAAAACTGACTGGCCACAAAATGGTCCCAGCTTCCACAGCAGCAGAAATGCAAGGTATGGAGCTACTGAGAGACGTGGGAAGCAGAGCTAGGAGGGGCTGTACTCCTCTTCCATGGCTCTTGCTTCATGAAGGATGGGATTTGGCAGCTTCATACCTTCGTTTGGCTCGGCAGCACTCGCCCTTGCTGTGGCTCACGTATAGCCATGCCAGTGCTGCATTGCAGCCAGGCTGGCTGGAGCACAGGAACCACACAGCAAGAGAGACCACGATGAGACACAACAGGGTCCAGAGCCATTCCCAGCAGGGGCCCACTAGGTGGAAACACAATTTCATGCTGGACTGACTCACAGCAAAATATTTCGGGCCAATTCAGCAGCGTACTCTGTTTTGAGTCACAGTGACTCCCACTGCAAGATTGTGTTTAGATGCTCCTGGAAGAAAAAAAAGTATACAGAGACACACACACAAAAAACCAACCCAAAACAAAACACAAAGAAAAAAAGCAATGTCTCAGAAAACTCATTTTCCACAGAAAAAGCTTCCTGCAGAAAAGGACTGACTAGCTCTTCCTGCAGCCTGGCCAGACACTGGTACAGCCCATGCAGCAGCCCTGGCATCTCAGGTCACAGGGGGCACACCTCCACATTAAGGCCAGTCCTTTCCCCCAGCAGCCTGGAAACAGCAGCCCTCACCAGGATCTTACTTTCACCTCCTGCTATCCCTTTGTGCATTTCTGATGTCAGTAATAACAGAAAGGTCCTCTACATTTTTACCATCTTGATAGACAGCAGGAAGATTATAATTAAATCACAGCTTAGCTTGGGTTTTTGCATTCATGCTGAGGAGCAGGGCAATCTGTTTATTTGCAAGACTAGGCATGTATATATATCATAAGGGTCATAAATATATATATGTATATAGTTAATCCTTATGAGTTTCACAAATAATCCCATATATTCCTGGATGGAAAACACATTAGAGCAAGCCAGCATCCTCTCTCATCCTTTTTGTTCCTCCCTTCTCTCCCTGAGAACAATGAAAGCAGGAGGAAGTCATGCATTGGTTTGTTGCTAGTTTCCAGGCAGTTTTGCCTCCAGCTTCACAACTATAAGCAAAACATCGCAATACCTAGGTTTGAACAAACAGGCAACATCTGGTTTGAAAAAAACACCCCATCAAAGATTCAGGAGAGTGCTCAGACGGTCCCTGGTGTTTATTTCATTGAGTTTAGCATTTTGATCAAATTTGCCTCCTTAAATGCAAGTGAGGACTAATGACTGTGCAAGGTATCAAGGAGTGATGATTTGTAGCTTGGAAAAGGGGATCTATCCAGGCAGGCTGCTGCTGCTGTGCAGCCCTGTGTGCCTCACCACAGTAGGCAGCTTCCGCTACCTGCCACTTCAGCAGTTCATTACCAAAAAAAATCACATTTCTGCTGCACCCGAGCAACCCTGCAAGCTGGAACACTGGCGCCGCCATCCTCAGCCCCTGCGAGCCCTGCTGCCATCAGGACTAATAACGCTAATAAGCCGCTGATGCAGTCCCTCCGCTGCGGGCTATCCAGCAAGCGGAAGGCAGAGGCACTGGTGGCACCCACTTCTTCTGCAGCTCCCTCGGCAGATCCTGTCGCTCCTGGGGAGGTTTCGTCAGCCCCTTCTGGCCTTTTATCCGCCTGTCCCTCCTGGCCCAGCCCAGAGGCTGCACCCCTGGCATCCGCTGCAGCACGCAGCCTCCTTGCAACTGCACCACTGCTTGTAATGCAATTGATTGTTTTTGAAGCACATCTCCAATCAGAAAGTGTAAGAAAATCCCATCCGCCTGCCAATTGACTCATGTGTAGGGTTTCCGCTTCCCAGATCTGCATATTGTAAGCTCCTGACACAAGTTGATATTGTAAGTACAGCTTCCTCTCAAAGGCAACAGATTTATATATATATATATATATATATATATATATGGCACCTGGTTTGGCAGAAACCACATCTGAAAAAGGGAAATAGGGAAAATAGTAAAAGCTTGATCTACCTAGCTATTGCTGGCTTTGGAGGGGTTTGGGGCAATTGCAAAGATAGTATAAATATTTCATTCTGACTCAGAAACAGCATGAGAGTCGATAGGGCTAGGCTGACTCCCGAGCATAGGGGCGACAGGTCATAAACCTGGGTCCGACACCTGGATTCACCCGGAGAAGGGGCATTTCCTGACCGGAGCATCCCGAGGTGCGTTAAGGGGCCGTTCTTTTCACACCAAGCAGGCCAGGCCCTGGCACTGACACTCCAGCCTGGTAGGGTTCGGGTTCAGCACCTGAGATTTGGCAGCTTTTCCCACCAGATTTGGCAGGCACAACTGCTCTGGTATGGGGCAGGGGTCCGGCTGTTTCTGCCCGCAATCTGTCAGGGGAGCCTGCACGCAGAACAAACCCCGCTGTGGGGCCCTGCGAAGCGGCGCGCCGGGGCTGGAAGCCTGCAGGACGCGCAGGACGGCTCTCGCAGGCGTTGTCCTCGGCGCACCCGCGCATCACCCCGGCGGCTGCGGCGGCCGCTCTCCCCCGGCCCAGACCCTCCTCACCCGGCGGGCGCAGGTGGGGCCGGGCCCGGTGCCCCTCGCCCACCCGCAGGGAGGGAGCCAGGACGGGGCTGGGGGGGGCGGCGATCGCTCACCGCGGGGCTCTGCCCGCCCCCTGCCCGCCCCCGCCCCCTGCCGGCGGGGCCCGGCACCGCCCCCACCCCGTGCCACCGCCCCCTCCCCGCGCCGTGACAGACAGCTCCGGCGGCGCGCTCGGCCGGGGAGGCGGCGAGGCGATGCGCCGCCGCCGCCGCCGCCATCCCGGCGCAGCCCGCGGCGTGCCCTGCCTGCCGGTAGCCCGCGGCCGCCCCTAGCCGCGCTGCAGGCGGAAGGGCAGGGGCGGTGGCTTCTCCTTCCCGGCGCCCCGCATGAGGAGAGGCGTTAAATAGCGCCAGCGCCGCGGCGGCCGCCACCACTGCCCGCTCAGTGGCGGCGGGGCCGCCTGGCCGGCGGCGGCGGAAACATGGCGAGTGACTCTCCGGCGCGGAGCCTGGACGAGATCGACCTCTCGGCACTGCGGGTGAGGGGCCGGTCTGGGCCCGGGAGGATGCGGGAGTCGTGTCGTCCCCGTCCCCCCCCCCCAATCCATCCATCCATCCATCCGTCCGTCTGTTCATTCCCCGGTGGGGGGAAGCTGAGGCTAAAGCGGGGGGGGGGGAGAGGCGCGGGGCTGTGCATGTCAGTGCACCGGCACGTATGTACATACCGAGGTACATAGGTTGCGCGCGTGCCTGTGCGCGCGGGCAGCCGCGTGTACGCATGTGTGTGCATGGGCACAGGTACATGTGTGTGTGCGCCCGCGTGCGTGAACCGGCACGCGCACCCGTGCGGGGCGGGCGGGGGTGCGCAGGTGCGTGTGTGCGCACACACATGCACATACACGCACACACATGCACATACACGCACACACATGCACATACACGCACACACATGCACATACACGCACACACATGCACATGCACGCACATGCACATACACGCACACACACGCGCGCGGAGGAGAGGGTGCACGCGCGTGTGTGTGTGCGGGCGCGCTGCTGCGACAGTCCCCCTCCCCCCTCCCGCCCCGCCCGTGCTCTCTGCGGGGCCGCCGGGCACGGGCCCCGGGAGGGGCGACGTCGTCCCCGCAGGCTGGGCAGTGCCTGCGCGCTGCTCCTGCGCGCCGCAGCATGCACGGGCACACGGGCTGTGGAGACCTTAACCTCCGGTGTGCGGGGCTGCCCCCCAGACCCGGCTTTCCCGCACCGGCGCGGTCCCCGCAGCCTCCCCATCCATCTCCCGGTGTGCCCCTTCGCGCTGTCTCCTCCTCACCCCCCTCTGAAAATGAAGCTCGTCGTGTACCCTTGAAATGTCGGGCTCGAATGTCGGGCTCGTCAGACGTGTCAGCCTCTGCGTGGGCTGTGGCCTGATGTTCTCCCCCCCCCCCCCCGGTCTATTTTTCCTGTAACTTTCTTCCTTTTCGCCCGTTCTTCATCTTTCTGGTTGTAAGAAGAGCAGGTTGATAGCGAGCATGGGGAGTCATTTAGAGAAGCAGCGTTTATTCGGGAGGTGACTGCAAGGCTGCTTCGTTCAACCTGCAGGCACAGATAAATAAAATTGAGCAGAATCCCCTGAAGACCTGCACAAGTGTTTTTTTAGAAATATTATTTGCTTCAGTGCAAGAAGGAAAAAAATGTGTATTCACTTGCCCTACTTTCGTCCTGGTGAGTGTCTGGTTGATTAATGGTGTAAATGATTGCTTAGCAATACATGGTGTAGATGGGAATGGAAGGGGGAAAACATCACCTTAAAAACAGACCCGGAGCTTGTTTCTCCAGTAGGTGCCTTGGGAGTAAGGTTGCTGAGGCTGGTGGAGTTAATCCAGGAAAACATTATCATAGGGTTTGGGGGGGGGAAGGGAGAAAGGGAGAGGGGCAGGAAGGGCCCCTCTCCTTCTCCCTTGCCCTCTGAAACCTGAAAATCAGATTTTTGTATTTCTTTTTAACATCTGTGTTGGGAAGTTTATTTGAAGTAGGGCACCATTTCTTCTTAAAACTGTATCCATACATCCTTAGTGGTTTGGGTTTTTTTTTTTCTGTGTATTTGCGGCTTTTTAAATAGCAGTCTGCTCCAGATACAGTCAGGAGTTTATTTTCACTGTAGGAGGAAATGTATATTCCTTCCCCCCCTCCCCCTGAGACCCACTGGCAGCTCCTGGTCTGCAATCAGAGCAGTGTTGGTGTTGCAGGGTAACCAGAGACGGGGGGGACCTGAAATCCCGACTGACGTCGGGGTGGGAGTGCAAAGCCGTGTCCCCTGCCCAGCTGTGTCTGCCCTGGTAGGACCCTGGGGATACCACGGTGCCTCTGCCACTTGGACCTCAGCCCCTCTCAACGGGAGAGACCTGCTACAGCGCTTTCCTGTAAATGATGAGAGATGTGTTGGTTTGTAAGCGAGACAAGAATAGGAGCTTAATTTGCCAAAGAGTAGATCTTCTTCTGAACTGAGCTCTTTTAGCACTTAGAATAATTGTTAAAGGTCATAAATTCAGCAGATAGGGCAAGAAGCGTGAATCATTCTGTGGGGTCTGAATCAGAAATCAATAGTAAATTTGCTGCCTGAGCGTAAAACATGGCAGGGAGGAGTAATTCCCCAAGCCGTGCAAAATTCCATTTATTTAGAAGTGTCACGGCTGCAGGTTTGTAGATGGGTCTGGATGGAGGAGATGCTGCTCTTGTGCCTATGTCTTTGGAGGGGTGAGGGATGGCTAAGTGAAATGCTGGGAGCCAGGTGATGACTCAAAATCTGGCTGAGGAGATGATTTGTTCTCAGCAGCAGGGAAAGGAAACGCTTGGGCCACTTATCTCCAAGTTTGAGTCACTGAAATGTTCCAGGAGGCTGGGTTTTATGAACAACAAGCAAATGCGTATAAAAAAGGTGGACCTTTGACTGCCAGTTCGCCCTGTCCTTTGCTTTGGCTTCCCTGCTCCTCTTACAAGGGGAGAAGGTGGGTTTGCAGGACCAGACTGTGCTCTGCTTTTCAAGGCTGAGTGTGGCTTGGCACAAGTACAGCCCTGCACACCATCATTCGTCTGGCTTGCCTCTACCCACTAGTTTACAGGGTAGGGTTTGTAGAGCTGGGATTAAAGGTAACATAGGAGGTAGTAGAAGCTTCTGTTCTTCCCACCCCAGAGTTTATCTTGACCACACAGTCAGGCTCCACCATAGCAGTGCATCTATTTGACATGCTGGTGGCTGGGACAGGAACAAAGCACTGAATTCTGATTAAAATGCACGGCCTGGTGCATCGAGTAAGCGCACTTGGGGCTGGTTCCTGCCTTCTTTGCGACATGTTTCTATCCATCATTGTTCACCGTGCGTGCTGCCATGGTACCCAAATGTCCCTGTGTCAGTGCAGAGGGCTAAGAGGAAGGGATAGGGTGAAACCTTCGACATCAGAGGATTCTTGAAATGGAGATCTGCTGGTGGTGGTGCTGGTAATGAGTACTGTTAATGTTGCAGAAAACTGTAATTTAAAATGATGAGGCCATTGAACAGGTAGTGCTGCATATTATACTGACAAGGGGATAAGATAAACTACATTGTAATGTTCTTTTGTGTGGGCAAGGACATATTTTTCCTAGTCCACTCAGCACGTTTAATAGCCGGGTGACCTGGCAGTGCTATTAGTAGAATAGTGATTAACAGGGGGATTCACACAGGCTGTTGACAGCCGTGTTTGAGGAGCAGATTTTTGCAATAAAATAAGAGCAAGCGAATGTGAGGAGGGATGCAGTGGGCCGTGCTCTCTGGTAAATGCACAGCTGATCTCTGTAGGAGAATAAACAGAAAGATGGGGCTGGGTTTGGGATGGGTTTTTTTTTTGTCTCGATAAATGCAAGAGCCTGTCAGCTCTTGCTGAAGGCAGTGGCCTTGATCCTTGATTCTAAAATATTCAGGTCAATAGCTTTTCCTCTGCTGTATCCATCTGCAGGGCTGGGCCTCTGGCTGATGTTCCAGCAGTGGCAGCAGGCTCTTCTGCAGTAACTAGTACAGCTGGGTGCTTTGGGGTGCTTTGCAAGGTGTATGTAGGGTGACGAAAGCTCTCTGGGAGGAAAGCCTTTCTCAAGGGAATGATAGCCCCTGGGGTGGGGCCAGTGTGGGGCAAGCAACTCCCCCTGCTCACAAGCCTGGCAAGGCTTGTGTTAGTTGTATGGCTTGACTGAGGGTTTCCTGCAAGCCTGGGAGTTTAAAAGCAGCCTTTTTTAGGGAAGGAGCAATTGTTTTCGTGTACCTGAATGTTGCTTTTGTTTTGAGCTCATTAACAAAACCCAAGCTTTTGTTATTTACTTTAGGAAAGTGCTGACCTTGCACTCTGTGGGACCTGAATCCTAAAATTGTTAGTTGTTTTGGAGTCTTTAACGCTCAGGCTTGGAGAGGAGACAGCACAGAATTAAGGAGCCGGTGGGTATTAGCTGTTGCTGGGAAGAACTGGATGAAACCCAAAAATGTCACTACTCTTCCTTTAGCTTTGCTTTGTATAGAAGTGAAGTTTCAGTGGCCATTTGTTTGCATTCGTTGATCACTGTCAATGAAGATAAAAGCTCTCCTATTAAAAAACCCCACAAAACTCAAACATGCTGGCATTGTCTTGTTTCCAGAACTTCATCAGTTTATGGCATATTTCAGCATCATTAAAGATTTAGGAGAAGTTCTAATGGGGGGATAAGCACTGAAAGCCTCCACTCAGGAGCATTATCCTGATAGCATTATGTCAGATTTCTTCTTCCAGCACCTTTTAAAAAACTCTTTAGCCCAACATAAATTGGGCAGCTTTTGCAAAGGTCGCCTTCTTCCTAGATAGAAAGAGGAACTAGAGATAACTTCTGAAGATTAAAAAAAGGCATTAAAAGGTTATTTATGCTGTGTTTTACATGATCTGCTACCGTGCAACATTTGGGACATATCTTCAACATATATAGCCATAATTCCTGAGGATAGAGACTCTTGGGGGTTTCCATCAGGGAATTCATCTGCCCTTTTCCAGTGTGATTCAGTGCATGTGTAAACTATGGACCATGACTTTGTCCGTGTATATTTTTGAGCCTTTTTTTTCACTGTAAAACCTTGGCAGCACAAATCTGTCTCTGAATCATCCCAAAGGGATAACACTGCTCCACTCTAACCCTCTTTGTTTTTTTTCCCAGCATTTCACTTCCATTCCTTGAGTGGGGAGTGCTGGTACCGGTGCATACATTTACCTTTTACATGTGTGTGTATTCTGTGTGTGTGCTCATGAAAGGAAACAAGGCTGTCTTCTGTCTAAGCCTTTTGCATGGTTGATTTTAATTGTTGTTTTTTTTTTTTCCCACCTTTTGGAGGCATGCAGTCTAGATGCTGCTCTTCTGCAGTTTTCTATGTGTCCTTCAGCACTGGTGCTGTGGTTACTCTTCCTCATCTTTGGAGATCTTCCACAACATGGAAGCATAGGGTGTTTTTAAATCCACAGAATGTTCTTACTGGTGTTCCTGTGCTGGGCAGC